TCGGCCCGCGAGGGGGCAGCCCGCGGCCCGCTGATTGCCGCGCAGCCCACGGTGGCCGGGAGAGGCCCGTAATGAATGACTTTATTTGCTGGGGCCCTGCTGAGAACAATTGAGTTTGTTATGGTAACAACGGATGCCAGCTTTCCGCCGCCCCGGGGGGCGCGGGCGCGGGCGCAGTGGCGGCAGGAGCTGGGCAGCGGAGCAGATGATGCGCGCGCTGAGCAGAGGGGCGCCGCCGGAGCGGGGGCTGGGGACAGAGCAAGTGTTACATCCGAGCCTGGCTGATCAGGAGAGCAGCTCCGGGCCGCCTTGGACCGTGCTGGATAAGGGACACACAGTGCAGAGCTGGATGGGAATTCATCCAGTTCCCTGGTTTGTTGGACCGGCCAGTCTTCCTGGTTGTATCTGTGACCGTCCGTCCCCTTTTGCCTCGAGCTTGGAAGCAGATTCCCGTCATTTTTTGTTATTTTTGCAAAAGGGACAAAAGGCATCCCTTCCTCGAATACTGTGGCTTGAGGAGTTGAGGGACAGCATTTCAGATCCAGTATTCTCTGTCTCCTGTCTGCATCCCCATGCTTTCTGGCGTGACGCCTGCCACGGGAAGCCTTCCTTGTCCACGCAGAGAAGGGTGCCTTCGAGCTCTTTCAGCCTTCTGCTGCCTCCTCTATCAGACCATGAATTCTGAGGGCAGGGGTTTGGAGGTGCATCCCAGAAGACTTCAGGGCTTGCCATGAAGCTGTGAGCTAGTCGCTTCTCTCTCTCCCCACCCCACCCCTCATCCTCAGCGTCTGAGAAAGCAGGGTGATGCACTGAGAATGCACCACAGGCTTGCAGTGTGAACCTTGTCCCTATTCTCCTTCCAGGCCTCAGTTTCCCTATCTATAAAAAAGGAGGGACTTGAAACCGGCTCTCAGAGCCAGCTGAGTGGGAGACATCAGCAGGGAAATTGGGGCTGGGATCAGGACTCTGCTTCTGCCTCAGGTGTTGCATGCAGTGTGACCACTGGAAATAACTCGTGTCCCCCCCCCCCCAGCTTTCTGAGGCAGACAGTGAGATTGACATGCCTTCTATGTGACAGGCATAGCTCCCAGCAGCTCTCAGAAGCACAGGGACTATTACTGTCTTTGTTTGTGTAGAGGGGAGCTAAGAGCAGTTAAATAAACAGCCTAAAGTCACAGAGGCCGTAAATTGAGGGCTAGCTGCACACCCAAGCAGTTGGCATAGACAGCACATACCCTTGGCCCCTTCCCTGCCCTTCCCGAGTTCCACTCCTCTTGTTCTTGTGGCCCCCAAACTCATTGTCCACATCTGCAGGACGGCAGGTGAGTGACATTTCCAGTCGCCCTTTCTGTTTTAGAGGTAGGGTCTCATGGAAACCTATATTGCCCTGAACTCACTGTGCAGCCAAGTCTGGCTTTGACCTTCTGATCCTCCTGCCTCAGCACTCTCAGCTGGGCTTCCAGGCATGTGTCACCATGCTCCGTTACCCAGTGCCATTTCTTCCTCTGGCTTTGCCCTCTGTACCTGGCTGTGGATAGCTAAGAGTAGACTCTGATAGTAAGAGCAGCTAAGGCAGAACCCAGGGCCCTCCTCGGCTTAGTCTAGCACGATTTTGAATTTCAGAAATCATTCTTTTTTCTACCTTACTTCTTGTTTCTTTAGACCAGATCTCGTGTAGTTGAGGATGACCTTGAACTGCTAATCCTCCTGCCTCCACCTTCTGAGAGCTGGGATTGCAGGTATGTGCCAACACACTTAACTTTGAGGTTTCCTGAAAAGCAGAGTGGAGGATCCAGGTCTTGCCTTTTAGGAGCAGGCTTCCAGAACAGTTTTTGTCTTTTGTCCCGACAACAGCTTCTGGAGAACTCTTTGCATCCCTGAGATAGCCCTTTCTCAGATGGATAGACTAGGAAAGTGGTCCCCAGTCGGGGATAGTTCTAAATAGCAAGACTGGAAAGGGCTGGGAAATTGTTCATCCCAGCCAACTTTACACCCTGTCAACCCAGCATCTCCTCTTGGCAATGGATGTGATGTAGTGCCTCCTTTGCTGCCCTAAAATGAAATTCAGGTAAAAGATAACCTACCATCAGACATCATTTTAAAAAGTAATACAATGCCCAACTGTAACAAAAAAGGGAACGTACAATAAAGTGATAATGAAATGTGTATTTCATTATGCAAAGGCTCAGGTGTGACAATGTGAGGAGACAACGGGGAGGTGGTCAGCGCCTGTTTTCAGTGTGGAATCATCATGAATCAGCAGCTGCAAATGCAGACAGCTGTGGTTTTATGCAATATCAACGCCTGTGGCCATCCTGCCACCAGTAAACAGAGTCTCTGAAATTGTGAACACATCCTGATAAAATTCCAGCCAGGGCAAAGCGCCATCTCCCTCTTATTTATACGGTGGTTGTTTTTTTGGGAGTCAGTAGATATTAGAACACCAAGGGTTTGTGGATATGAGTCAAAGAGAGTTAGGTTCTTGGCTCGGATGTTCATACACGGTCTCTAACAACCCGACGGCTGAATGTGTCATTCTAAAGATATGTGGGGTTCGTGACAATGTTGTTTTGAGACATGTAGGCTTGCCCAGCCTCTAGCTTGATGCACAGCTAAGGATAAACTTGATCTTTCTACCTCCCTCATCCTAGTGCTGGGACTTCGATAATGTACCAGCAAGCCTGGCAGCACAGGACAATCGTCCTCCAACCACATCGCGCTTCGTGGACCTCTGGTCCCTCTCATTCACTGTCCTAACTCCCCCCACCTCCCTGCCAAAATGACAGTGATTCACAGGCCCCCCCAAACCTCCCACCCCATCACTCTTACTAAGAGCCACTTGAGGAGGGCTGGAGAGATGGCTGTCCATAAGTACTTGTCACGTAAGCACCAAGACTTGAACTCACACCCTCAGCACCTACACAAGAAGCTGCGGGAAATCCGTCCTCCCAGTACTGGGGAGGGGGAGACTGGAGGATACCTGGGGCTTGCTGGCCAATAGGTCTAGCTGAATTCTCGAGGTCCAGGTTCAGTGAGTGACTGTCTCAAACAGAAAGGTGGTGGGCAGTAGAAGACATCGCCAACATTTCCTCTGACCTCCACATGTGACCTTATACACACAAATACCAGACCCCCCCCCCCAAATGCACACAGAGGGCTGTGGCTACAAAAGGTCTCCTCTGTGTCATCTTCCTATGGGAAGTTCTGCAAGTCTTCTTAAAAGCCAAACCCTGCAGTTGGGGATGTAGCTTAGTTGGTAGAGTGGGAGCTTGCCTAGCATGCAGTAGGGTTTAGTCCGTTCCCTGGAACCACATAATCCGGATATGGTGACACCTCAACACTCATAGAGCAGAAGTTCAAGGTTGTGCGCAGCTGCACAAGGTCGTGTCTCCCCAAACCGAACACACACACCACACACACACACACACACACACACACACACACACACACACCTTCATATGTTGTGCAACTACTGTGTGCAAGAACTGAACTGTGAAAACAAAAACAAAACAAAAGCTTGTCCCTTGATTTGTATGTGAGCTGTGAGAGCTGCTGGACCCCCAGGGGATCTCAGTCAGAAAGTGCAGTCCCCTCACCTCTGTTCTCCAGGGCCCCCTTGGTCTCTTTGTTCATGCCCCCAAATCCAACACTGGCTGGAATATCGCCTTCCTCCAAGAAGTCTTCCTTGATTCCAGGACCCAATAAATGCTTGAACCAGAGGATTCAGTGTAGCCTTCCTCTCTTTGTGTATCTTGTTATTTTATTTGTTCATTTATTTAGAGACAGGGTCTCATGTAGCCCAAGCTGGTCTTGAACTTACTATTGTAGCTCAGGAGGATGACCTTGAACTCTTGATCCTCCTGCCTCTGCCTTCTAAGGGCTAACATTACAGACATGGGCTACTACACCCAGCTTTGGCATTTTAATTAATTAAAATATTTAATTACTTTTGGAGGCAGGGTCTCACTTGGTAGCCCAGGCTCGCCCTAGCTTTCATTCCTTCTCCATCCTTCAGAGCGGAGGATTGCAGGGCAGGCCTCCAGGCTCCCCTTTCCCTCTGTGCTCAGGGAAAGGCTGGTTTTCTTTGTCCTGTTCTCACTGAGTGACCCCGGGGGCCTTGCTGTGCTCCCTGGTTTGGGGTCTGCCTGTTCTGACCTGCTGTGCTTTACTCACCCCAGCGCACAGACGAGGTAAGGGACAGAAAGGTCCCACAGCCAGAGCTGGCACCTAAAAGCTAGACCTTTGCCGCTTTAACATTGCCAAGGCCAGGCCCCCTGAGGAGAGAGTCGCCGGTTGACCAGCTCCTCATGGGGTACCGGTCTCAGTAGTGGACAGGGCCCTTCCTTTCGGAAGTTCAATGGTACCTTGAGCTGGGTGTGGAAGCCAGGAGGACACCGAGCGGCAGCTGGACTGTTTGGTTCCACTTTGATCCATCCTATAAGTGTATGCCTGCTCTGTGCTGGCCTTCGTTCTAGGTCTAGGAGGCAGGGATGCTGCAAAGGATGAGGCAGATGGAAGTCCTTGTACACAGGAGTGGCCTTCCACTGCAGACAGGGGGAAAATAAGAATGACCGATGTTGTCTTGTTAAACACTTTTTTTTTTTAACAGAGCTAGGCATGGAACCCAGGGTCTGTACACACATGCTTGGTGGTTGTCAAGCAGGAAACAAACTTAGGAAAGAGTTAAGGGACGCAGCGACCCTGTGGGTGAGGGGCCCTGTCTTATGGAAGATGACCTGAATGTAGAGATGACATTTGAGTAGAGACTCCAAGCAAAACAAGAATAAGCCAAACAGATATCTGGGAAAGGTCTAGAACAGCAAAGGCTGTAGTACAAAGGCAGGGTGTACTTTACAGAGCTGGGGGCAGTGAGGGGAGATGTGGGGGAGTGGTG